CCTTCTCTCTCTCTCTCTCTCTCTCTCTCTCTCTCTCTCTCTTTCTTTCTCTCTTTCTTTCTTTCTTTCTTTCTTTCTTTCTTTCTTTCTTTCTTTCTTTCTTTCTTTCTTTCTTTCTTTCTTTCTTTCTTTCTTTCTTTCTTTCTTTCTTTCTTTCTTTCTTTCTTTCTTTCTTTCTTTCTTTCTTTCTTTCTTTCTTTCTTTCTTTCTTTCTTTCTTTCTTTCTTTCTTTCTTTCTTTCTTTCTTTCTTTCTTTCTTTCTTTCTTTCTTTCTTTCTTTCTTTCTTTCTTTCTTTCTTTCTTTCTTTCTTTCTTTCTTTCTTTCTTTCTTTCTTTCTTTCTTTCTTTCTTTCTTTCTTTCTTTCTTTCTTTCTTTCTTTCTTTCTTTCTGTGTATGTGTGCAGGTGCCTAAGCAGACTTGAAGTTGGAGTTACAGGTTGCTTGATGTGGTTGCTGGGAGCTGAACTCTGTCTTCTGCAGGAGCTGCAAGTGTCATTCATCACTGGAGCCTTCTCCTCAGCCCCCTTCCTGCCCCCTCTGTCTCCTCATGGCATTTTCTACATAGCAGAAGATTCTAGATGATGTGATATGTTTTTGAGCATGTGCAGAAGAAGAGGATGAAAGGCAGAAGGCCCAGCTTTGGCCTTGGCTTCAGGGGAATGCTGTGCAACTTTGGGAGATGAATTCAGCATCCTCACTGGCTACCTGAACATTTGGTTTGAATGAATCAAATGTGAAAACATCAAGGCAGACCACAGCTGTAAACCTGAGCACCCACGTCGAAACCCTGGGACTACCCTAAGGGAAGGAAGCAGGCTGGGTGATTTGGACATAGATATTCTTTGCTTCACAAAACCCTTTAAGATTTATCTTTCATGTCCACTAAAATATTTTCTCTCACTTTTCTTCAAATACACAAAGCCTTAAAGGCCTATCTTTTGTTTTTCCACTTTATAGAAACATTAGCATCACAAATGTTTCGTGTCATAACGTTATAATTGAAATAGCATAAGAAGAATACTGTTGCCTCTCGGCTTGTGATGGGCACACATGGAAAAGGGAGGGCTGTGAGGAACTCAAGATTGAGTGCCCCAGCTCCAGTGTGGATTCCTTAACTCAAGCCAGTTACTGCCATGAGGAAACGTTTGTTTAGTAGATGGAATATTTATAATTCTATTTTAAAAAGAGAAACAAGAAATTTGTATTTTAAATGAAATCTTCCAATTTCCAAACATTGAACATTTAAAATGAACAAGAATTGTGTATATTGACAGAGCACTGTGTAGATTCCATATGGACTGAGAGCCATCATTTTGAGAGCTCTTCAGGATTTAAATGTCTTAAAAAAAGCTAATTAAGCTGGCTGTGGTGGTACACACTGGCACTTGGGAGGCACAAGCAGGCAGAGCTCTGTGAGACTGAGGCCAGCCTGGTCTACATAGCAAGTTCCAAGGCAGCTGGGGCTACAGGGAGCCCCTGTCTTACGTAGCCCAGACAATCCTCAGTCTCACCATATAGCAATTGCTGGGATTATAGGCTTGCATCACCACACCTGGTTTATGAGATTCTGGGGATCTAACTGATGGCCTCATGCATGCTAGGCAAGCAGTTTTCTAACTCAGCTACATCCCCAATTATTCAGGGTTTATAGAGTCTCTTGCATACCCAGGAACCCTGAGTAATATAAGTTAGTTGTGATTCAAAGAGGAATGGAAAGGACTTACAATGGGGCTGCTGAAGGCCACAGGAGGCTGTGAGGTTTCCCAACGCCCTACAGATCTTTGTCGAGAGTGGCTCTGGACAGGCACCCGGGCACTCTGGCTCCTCCTCAGAGGCTGGGCACCTCCTTGGCTTCTCATCGTTGCTGGGCCCTGGGCCCATCTAGTTGGGAAGGGCAGGCACTGGTACTGAGTCCACTCTTCACTGTCGGAGTCCAGATCCTTTGGGGTCTCTAGTCGCTTGGCTGCAAGAAAGGAATCTTGTAGATCTTGTCTGGTCTGTGGTTGGGAAGATGCTTAACTTTAGGGGTTGAGATAAGGCACAGGCAGGGGCTATCCTGATATGGAAAATCATAGCTGGGCTACTAAGATTGGAGAAAGGGGGATATAATGAAGTCCTACAAGTTCAAATCCTGCTACTTCTACCTTCCAGTTATGTGACCTTGAGCTCTGACTTAACCTGTACCTTTAGTTTCTCAATTAGGAGTTTTAAGAACTCAGGATCATTCTGAAGATTTAGTGACATAATGTGTGAAAGTGATTAGCTTAGCTGGGTACAGGTAAGTGATAGCTGTTATATTATTAAAAGGAAATAAGAAGCTCTCACGTAAATGGTGAATGATCACCATAGCAAAAGGGGTAGGGCTAACTATAGCTCCTTTTTCTTTCTCTATCGTGTGTGTGTGTGTGTGTGTGTGTGTGTGTGTGTGTGTGAGTGGGTGTCAAAGAGAACCATATCAGTTCTATGGGCTACTCTGTGTCCCCGAAAGGTAACTGTCCCAACATCTTGTATCTCCACCTCATAAATCAAAACACCGACTTGGTGGAAATCTAGGAGACCTGGTTAATATGGGAGGCATTTTCAAATCTGACCATGTGCCTAGATTTAGACATATCCTAAAATGCCAGGTAAGGTGACAGGAGAAATTCCTGAGCCTTGGCTTTATGATTGGCACACAGCTGGGATACAGTCTATTCTGGTACATTTCTGATGTAAACATACTGTATTGTTAATATTACCAGACACTGGAAGGGTAAAGGAACCTGTCAAAATGCCATAGAGCATCTATGGGGAGTCAGGACAGTGAATTTTTTCTCCTGTTCTCCTAAGGTAACAGGGTACTTCCTTTTAGGAAGAATGACAAAGGCCCTTGGGAACCCTCATACCATTTTCTTGGTGACAATACTCGCTGCCCATGATGGTGCAACGCCGGAATACCATCTTGTTTTCTGTTAGGGTGCCCGTCTTGTCAGAGAAGATGTACTGGATCTGGCCTAGGTCCTCTGTGATGTTGAAGGCTCGACATTGAATGGATAAATCAGTCTCTTCATCATACAGGTCAAGGTCGTTATGTACTAAGAACACTTGCCCAAGCTTTACCAGCTCAATGGACACATACAAGGAGATCGGGATCAATATCTGAGGAGAAATGGATTCACATTGTCTCTGAAACCAGGCATGATCTCTGTTCTTAGACCCCCTAGCAATGGTGAAGTCAGGTCACAGGATGCCTTTTCCTGATAAATTAAAAGGCAATGGCCTCAGTCCTCCCTTGGAATTCTTAGGGAATTATGAAGTAGAGAAGTGTTTCCCTCAATCCAAGTGGCTGGAGTGACGCAGGCACTCACTACTGGTTATTTAGTGACTGAAGGTAAATGCAGGAACTTTAGCACCTCTTTCCAGAGACCACTAGGCCCCCTAGGTCTCCATGCCATGGAGCTCATGCCCACCTTCACAGGTATTCAGGCCATTGCTGATTATATTCATTAGTCCAGTCCTGACATTTACTCAGTTCTTGTTCTGGGTTGGATACTGTTCCAATTCTTGGAAAAGGGTATATTAGGACAAAATTTCTGGCCTTCAAGAACTCATATTCCAATGGCAGTGTATAAACAAATCAATAAACATCATGTTGTAAGCCTCATGAAGGAGAACAAAGGAAAACAGAAAAGATGCAGAATGACAGATTGGAGGGAGAGGGATGATGCTTTCATACATCATGACCTTTGGGGAGAGACTGAAGAAATGAGGGTGTGAATTGTGAGGATCACGGTGGGCAATGGGAGTGGCCTGGGTGTTTGGGGGTGATAGGTCTTATGTAGGAAGGATGGAGGAGGACAGAGGTAGAGATGACATAGGGTCAAGTTCAGGTCACTTAAAGCCTTGTTGGCTTCCATAAGGACTTGGGATTTTACTCTGAGCCGATATGAAATTTCAAGTAGATTCTGTGCAGAGAAGAGGTGCTTTGATTTCATTTTAAGAGGTATTAATCTGGGGCTGGAGAGATGTGTCAGCAGTTAAAAGCACTGGGTACTCTTGGAGAGTACCTGGGTTCAGTTTCCAGCACCCATATGGTGGCTAACAACCATGCATAACTCTAGTTCCAGGGGATCCAACACCTTCTTCTGGCCTCTGTGGGCACTGCAAGACATGGATACACTTACATACATGCAGGTAAAACACTCATACACATAAAATAAAAAAATAATAAAATACTTTAAAAAAGAAAGTATTAATCTGTTAGATTAAAGAATGGTTAAAAATGGCTTTCTGGTAAGAAACAAAATGCTACAGGACATATACTATAGATGTAACTTCACCAAACAAAGCTACAACTTTTCCATTGGCTGTGTTTCCTTACAGAGCCTCCACATTTTCAGTTCAGCTCTGCAGTTATTACCACATATTTTATAGGTATTCCCTATGTTTTTCTCTTCTATCTTGTTCTTTTCCATTTTGGTCTATCGAAGTCTATCATTAATGTGTGGTTTTTCCTCTATCTCAATACTTGGGGCAGGAGAGAGTTCTTAGTAGCTCCCTAGACTTCCATCAATCCTGGGCCTTTAGTGTTTTTTCCTGTTCTGTGTCTGCCAAAGGGACAGATACACATGGGTGAATACTGCAATCTTACTCTTAAATAGGAAGCTTAATAAATCTTTTCCTGCAGCTACTGTCTGAGATGCTATCCTGACATTACCTCCAATGCAGTCACTCTGTAGACCCACCAGAAATCAATCCTCATTTTCCCATCTTGTCTCATTCCTTCTTTGGGACTAGCATTGATTTTTCTTTATTTTACGAACCTGTAGAGATTAGAGAGACATCCTACCTGGAGCAGGATGATCATTGTGAGGAACATATAGAAGCCTCCAAGGGTAAGGGAAAAGAAGTTTCCATCAGCATCTGGCACATCGAAAGGAGGGTGTTCTTTAAAGGTCCCATTCCAGAGGCTGTGACCTGAGAAGAAGCAAAGTTAGGAATGAGATGAAATTCCCACTTAGTGCTCAAGTTGGCCAGCTATGCTAGCCCATGACTTGTTCCTGGAAATGATGGACTTTGGAGGAGCCCTTTCTTAACAACTCATGACAGCTGTGTATGTGTGTTCCTTTATCCTGACAGTGATCTTTCACATACCCTAGCCTTCAAAACCATGATAGAATAATGGACATTGGGTCTGTTTCACTGGGGAGATTAGTAAGAGGATTACTTATAGCTTGGTGAATTCTTTTCATTTTATTATTATTTTTAAAAGTATGTGAGTATGCTCTGCTCCCTCTGCTTCCCTGGGCCTGCACAACTCGCAGGCCTCTCTCTGGGGTAAGTCGATTGCATCCTGCTCACCTTGACTCCCCCAGCCTCATTCACCCTCCCATCTCCCCTGCCCATCTCTCCTCTTAGCCTGGGTCCTGTACCATTCCTTGTCTTGGTGCCCCAGACACGGGGGAACCACCACTGCTTCCTGATCCTTTGCATCCAGACCAACCCAGTCCTTCTCTGGTCCCCAGGAGCACTCTGGGCCTGGCCCGGCCCTCACCTCCCTCTGCTTCCCTGGGTCTGCACCACCTGCCAGCCTCTTTCCTGGATGCTGCGGCTGACCTTTCCTCTTCCTTTTCCTTTGCATCCAGACCAACTCAGCTCCTCAGTTCAGTCTCCAGGAGACCTTGGGGCCGATTCCCGCCCCCATCTTCCTTTGCATCTCTGGGTGGCATGGCAACCAGCTGGCCTAGACCAGCATCTTTTCTGGGCTTGGTTCCCAGGCCAGTCCAACCCCAAAATTCCTGAGGCCAAAATCTTTCCTGGAGGGATCCAAACCTTAGGAGAAAGCCTGAGAGCATCTGATCTCATTGGACTTGGGCCTCTGTGGGAACTCCTGAAGACAAAAGCAATCTGGCCACCCCCATATAATATCAAAAGAAAGAACTGGAAGCTTAGAGGAACCAGCTTTTCATGCCCAAAAAGTAAACCACAAAGACACATAAAGTTTACAAAAAGAAGCCACCTAAACTTGAAGGCTTAAGTCTCACACAAGAATCAGAAACTACAAAAGAAATTCACATGTCAAAATCACAGGGAAAAAATAACATGAAAAACCAAAATAACATATCCCCACCAAATACCAATAGTCCTCTAGAGGAGTACAATGAGAACCCCCTAGAGATAATGCAGGACATGGAACTCAAAAGAACAATTATAAACATGATAAAAGAATTCAGTGAATTTAAAGAACACACAAAAAAGAAATCAAAGAACTGAAGGAAGATAGGGATAAACTTCTGAATGAATTCAGAAAAGAGCTAGAAATATTGAAGAATACTCAGGCTGAAATGAAGAAGGAAGTGAAACACTCAGTAAGCCAATTAGAAATGACAGGAGAAAGCCTCACCAATAGGATGAATGGAATGGAAAACAGAGTATCAAGACTGAAAGACAAAGTGGACGAACTAGACCACTAGACCTCTATGAAGACAGCATCATTCTAATACCAAAGCCAGGTAAAGATACAACCATAAAAGAAAACTATAGACCAATATCCTTAATGAACATAGATGCAAAAATTCTCAACAAGATACTTGAAAACTGCATACAGACAGACATCAAAAAGATCATCCACCATGATGAAGGTGGCTTTATCCCAGAGATGCAGGGATGGTTCACTATATGTAAGTCAATAAATGTCATAAGTCATATAAATGGGCTCAAAGACAAGAACCACATGGTCATCTCAATAGATGCAAAGAAGGCCTCTGACAAAATTCAACATGCATTTATGTTCAATGTCCTAGAGAGAACTGGACTGGAGGAAACATATCTCAACATAATTAACCCACAGCCAACATCATTCTAAATGGAGAAAAACTGGAAGCATT